CTGCTCTCTCCTCCAGGTATCAAACCCTACAAGTGTTTATTCTGTCAGAAGGCGTTCAGCCGCAGGGCCCACATGCTCGAGCATCAGCAGTCCCACACGGACAACTACCGCTTCAGGTGCTCCACCTGCAACAAGGGATTCACCAGGCAGAGCTACTACAGAGACCACAAATGTCCCACCGTAGGAAATGGACCAGAGACTGAACAAGAGACAGGAGAGGCAGAGGGAGACAAGGTTGCAGGATTCCTGAGGGCCAAGGAGAAGGACGGAGAAGATGACTGGAGAAGAAGCAGGTGTATGAGAAAAGCAAGAAGGTCACGGACTAGGGGAGATGATGGAGAGGGGGAGGACAGCTCAAAGGGCAGCCAGGTGGAGACACCTGGGGAGGAGGAGGAGGAGGATGAGGAGGAGGAGGAGGATGATGAGGAGGAGGAGGACGGAGAGGGAGAGGAGAGGGGGACTGACGAGGGCTGTCAGGCCGCTCTGTCCATCACGGCCATGGAGGAGCAGATGGTAGGAGAAGAGGAGGAGGAGGAGGACGGCGTGGATCATGGCGGAAAGCCCCTGGAGCAGCTTCAGAGCGATGAGCAGAACTGTCTGCAGCAGCCATGTTTGTAGTCTGAGGGACATTTTTCTGGATGTAGACCAACTAAGAGACTTGGTTATGAAAAACAGTCTGGGAATTTATGTTATTATTTGTTTTAAATTAAAACGTTATTTAAATTATTCACACTGCTCTTACTTCTTTAACTGTGTGACGATGACGTGGGAGAGATGTTGGATCTGTACCTCCAGGAGATCACTTCCATGTCCTCAGCGATTTATTTGAACTGATGTCAAAACCAGTGGCGACATTTTCTCTCATTTTAATTTGGAAAAAACTAAAATATTATAAGTTTACTCCTGTTTCAAAATGTGTGTGTGTCCATTTAAATGCTTTTTCAGTGAGGCTCCACTCCCCAGTACAAAGTGTTGGTGACACCTCGTCACCATCAGCCCTGTTTATCTATAGATATGAATAATACACAGTTACAGTCGGGGATGTTGTTTAGAGATCCGTCAGTTTCAGAGAGTCCACGGCTCCTCTGTGGGCAAGTGGTCCAAATTAAAAGTCCACATTGATAATAAAAAGAAAGACAGTTGAGAGATTTTCCTTTTATTTCAATATGAAGTGTAATCAGGCTGTAATTTAACTTTTTTTTTTTAACTTAAATAAAGAAAAAGGAAGTCAAAACAGCAAATAAAATGCATGTTGTATAATAAAAATGTGAAATGATAACGTGGAATTTAAAGGGAAATAATGAAATAACTGAAAAGCCTGCAAAAGTCTTCATGGGAAGATGACAGACAGTCAGCAGAGACAAATGCTTGTGAAATGGTTTCATTCTGCCTCAAATCGTAACTCATCTGCTGATCAGGCGAGCAGATCTGCAAACCCTGTGCAGCTGCGATTACAGCCATGTAACACAGATTTAAAAGCACTGATGAAGCATTAATTAGTCCAGAGGTTCTCAAACTTTTTGAGCCACGACCCAAACGATAACATAAGTTTGTGTTTGTGACCCCCCGATTTGAATTTTTGATATCTCATGAGTAATAACTTTGTTGTTCATGCATTAATGCGTTAAAGAATAATGTGTTGATTCCACAGATTCATCTCTTTACATTAACATGTTAATTTTCTTTTCAATGAATGAATGAATTGAATTTGTTTCGAACAAATGAAAGGGGGAAATAATATAAAAACAAAAGAAAATAATTTTAAAAAGAGCAAAAAACTAATAATAATATGGCATAATCAAATCATAATATTAACAAATATGAAAAAGGAGTGGGAGGAAGTTTACACTTTTAATTTTGACAGTCCTGATACACATTTATTTGATAAATGTAGGCTTTATTTATTTATTTATTTATTCATTCATTTACTTATTTATTTATTTATTTGTTTGTTTGTTTATTTATTTATTTTTACAATGATCTGGCGACCCCCTGAAATTATCTTGGGACCCCCAGTTTGAAAACCACTGATTTAGGGGAAGGAGAAGAAGTACCACTATAATAACGCTGTAGTACCACTGTAGTACCACTGTAGTACCGCATTACCACCGCTAGCAGCGCTGTTCCTCCAAGCTGCGCTCAGGTCTGCGCAATGCCAGCGCAGCTTGACGCTCGTGAGCACACCACCCATCATCACAGATACCTCAGCTAGCAAACCTGACGCTGTGCTAAGCAGGTAGCGGTACAATGAGAGATATTCTGCATGAGCCGAATCGCAAATAAAGTGTCCTAAAGAGGAAAATAAACAAGTAAGTCGTACAGAATGACTTTACGAGCTTGCTAATGGCGTTCTGCCTCAGATAGGTTAATGCTAGCACTAGCTAACGCTAGCTAAAGAAGACAAGCATGATGAAGCTCTGAACTGTCCTGATCGGGTCCGTGTCACTTGTGTACAAGCGATTATATCGCTGTAGTTTATTGTAGTGGCTCAGTTACTGACTAACTAGCGAGGCTGGCCCTTCATGTCACTAGTTAAACATCACGTTAGCAAGCTAGCTAGCAAGCTAACAGCGACATTGAGCTGCTGTGTTAGTGCTCACATTCCTTTTTTCCAAGTGTGGCATATTTGAAGCTGCAGGATATTAGGGACATTACGACATTATTGTTTTACCTGCCATATGTAATGCGATTTGACTTTGCACCTCGCCATACAGAGCTCTGTGGTGCTGGTTTCACTGGTTTCAAAACACTGCAAAGTAGCTGCTTCTGATCAACATCGTCCTTTCTGCAGCTGAAACGTTTCCATACAACAGACGTGGTTTGTTTTTGCAACCAAATCTCACCTTTCAGCTTCTCTGCTGTTCATTACTGTTGTGCACATCGAGATCCTGCATGTAAACAAACGCGGTGTCCTGTAAACAAACGGAAAACTGTGTGCACATTACTGTGTCAATGCTAAAACCAACTACCTTCAACTGAACTGTGATGAAACTGACCTCATGTTCACCAGCCCCAAACCCCTCACCCTGTCCATCCATCATTTCTGCCTCACCGTCGGAAATTCATCCTTGACTCCCTCCTCTCACACCTGCAACCTCACCTTTGGGCAGCATCGCAAACAGGTCACAAAAACAGCCTTTTCTATCTGAAACATATCGCCCGTCTCCGACCATCCCTCCTCCCTCCCTGCAGCTGAAACACTCATCCATGCCTTCATCACCTTCAGACGGGACGACTGCAATAGCCTCCTCTATGGTTTACCCTCCAAACTCCTCAAAAAACTTCAACTTATTCAAAACTCTGTCGCCCGTCTCCTCACCCACACCCGCTCACATCAGCCCCGTCCTCCAACATCTCCACTGGCTCCCTGTCAAACATCACGTTCAAGATCCTCCTCCTCACCCACAAAGCCCTCCATCATCTGGCCCTCTCCTACCCCACAGACCTGCTCCAGCCCCACACCCCTTTCCTCCGTTCCTCCTCTGCTCACCTCCTCGCCCACCACCAAGGACCAAGCATCGAACATGGGGGGACAGAGCCTTTTCTATCCCCCATCAGACATTGCTCTGACCTCCACACATTCAAGTCTCTTTTAAAAACTCACCTTTTCAAGATCGCTTCATTCAACTTGTTTTGTTCCTGTTTTTATCTTAAACCCTGTTCAGTGACTTTGAAAAGCGCTATACAAAATAAATGTATTATTATTAAAACAATATATCGCGCAGCTCTAGTAGCCACGTCTACTTATTGTTCTTTGATAAGCACATCCTCTTTACTTGTCTCCTGTGAACTAGGTCGTCCAAATGGTGATCATGTCAGGCACAGCCACTGTGCTGCAGCAGTTTGTCAGCGGGCTGAAGAGTCGAAATGAAGACACCAGAGCAAAATCTGCCAAAGATCTGCAGCACTATGTGACTACAGAGCTCAGAGAGGTAAAAAACAGAGATGCATTTGACAGACACCCGTCATGGGGATGCAGGGATCAGCTGCTTACACTTTGCTGGAGGTGCACATCGATCCACACATTGGTTTGGCTGTGACTGTCTTGTACCATGTGCAGCACTATGAAACATTTGTCTTAGTGGGAACGCTTTGTTTTCATTATTTTCACTTTCGTTAGTGGTACAAGCTGTTGATGCTTTTCTGACTTGCTGTTTTTTTGTGCCACAGTTGAGCCAAGATGAAGCCACTACATTTTACGATGAGTTAAACCATCACATATTTGAGCTGGTATCTAGCTCTGATGTGAATGAGAAGAAAGGAGGGATTCTCGCCATAGGTAAGCTTTCAACAATGATCAAGTTTATGGTAAATTCTTAATTTAAGAACTTGTGAAGCCTTAGATAAGAGACAGCCCTTGATGTGTATCACATGAAAAAGTACTAATTTGTATACATATCATATGTTTAAGATCTATTTTACTGTGACCATTTATTCCAGTGAGCCTGATTGGAGTAGAGGGAGGCAATGCCACGAGGATTAGCCGCTTCGCCAACTATTTGCGCAACCTGCTGCCTTCCAGTGACCCTGTGGTCATGGAGATGGCCTCCAAAGCCATGGGCCACCTGTCTATGGCAGGGGACACCTTCACTGCTGAGTATGTGGAGTTTGAGGTGAAGAGGGCCCTGGAGTGGTTGGGAGCCGACAGGAACGAAGGCCGACGCCATGCTGCAGTGAGTCACGAGCAGATAACAGGGATGATGATGGTGTTAGTGGTTCAAACACCAGCACATGTTGCCGGTGTTTATGTCTGACCAAGATGAGGGCAAATGACAGTTTGATGCCACAGACCGCTGCTTTTTGTGTGTTTTTTTTTTGTGTGGCTGTTTTTGCCTTTCCTTATTAGAAACAGTGTTAGATCTATTGCTTGCAGTCGGCAACGTGCAAATACAGAAGTTAAACGATGCCCCAAATGCCCCCTTTTATGGGATTGTGCACAAAGCCTGATAAATAAACCCGTTTAACAACGTCTTCCTGCTGTTTTAGGTTTGTCAGGCTGGCTCACACAAAGAAATGCTGCCTGTGTCAAACTGGCTTCGTAGTGCAGTCCTCTGAATTTGTATTAACAAATCAGAACTAATGTTGAATTAGCTGAAAAACAAGAGATAATGTTTGTGAGAAGTTGGTTAAAAATAAAAAGATAGTTACCTAAAGGTGCAGTGGGTGCAACTGATGTACGTTTTCTTGAACTTTAAAGCTCTTTTCTACACTGTAAAGAAGTTCTGAGTGACTGGACGACGGTTTTCTGTTTCTTCCAGGTGCTGGTGTTGAGGGAGCTAGCTGTGAGTGCGCCCACCTTCTTCTTTCAGCAAGTGCAGCCCTTCTTTGACAACATTTTTTACGCCGTGTGGGACCCCAAGCAGGCCATCCGAGAAGGCGCTGTGTCCGCCCTGCGTGCCTGCCTCATCCTCACCACCCAGAGGGAGACCAAAGAAATGCAGAAGCCACAGTGGTACAAAGTAAGACGTTTGCAAATCTCACATTTTGTCTAACAAAGAAGCAGTCTTCCTGAGTATATATTGCATTTGCCTAATGTTCTTCTAATAAGCAGCATCTGTGTTTTCCAGCAAACCTTCGAGGAAGCAGAGAAAGGCTTTGATGAGACTTTGGCCAAAGAGAAGGGGATGAACCGCGACGACCGGGTCCACGGCGCTCTTCTCATCCTGAACGAGCTGGTTCGCATCAGCAGCATGGAGGGCGAGGTAAGGTAAACTGCGGGCACATTCTCAAATCAGGAAGCAGAATATTCCAACCGCTGTCTCATGTCTCACCAGCGTATGCGTGAGGAGATGGAGGAGATCACGCAGCAGCAGCTGGTCCACGATAAATACTGCAAGGAGCTGATGGGATTCGGAACCAAGCCGCGCCACATCACACCCTTCACCAGCTTCCAGTCGGTGCAGCCGCAGCAGTCCAACGCCCTCCTGGGCTTGTTGGGCTACAGCACGCCTCAGGGATTCCTCAGCTTCGGGGCCACGCCGGTACCTGCCAAGAGCTCGCTGGTGGAGAGTCGATACTGCCGGGAGCTGATGGAGGACCGATTCGACCAGGTAGGATTTACAGTAGAGGTCTTTTTTTTTTTTTCAATATTGCAACTAGTGATAGAAATTAAAAGCATTGTTATTGATCCTGTGTAGTGAAACACACGTTACTGCCCACACTGCAAATTCTTTTGTGTAACAAAAGAATGATTTTGACAAAAATAAGAAGATGGGTTGTTTACAACTGTAAGAGAACAGTGTGTAAATATATATTTTCTTTTATGTCGTGCATTAAAATCTTGATTATGAGACTTCTTTGATAGACATCAAACTCTGCAGGTTGTACGTGCTGTTTAGGATGGAGGACCTCTTTAGGATGTCTTTAGTATATTTAATATGTAAGCGTTTGTTTACATTTTGTACGACCTCGTATAGTAAAGTAGAGTTTAACCTAAACGACACGATCATTTTGCTTTTTTGGAAGAAAAAACCAGCAGACAACATTTTTTGTTTTTTCACATTTTTATGACACTAAAGAAGATGAAACGTTCTTTAATCAGATAATAATGCTATCTAGCTCCCACAGCATGCCGATAGGTCGACAGCACAAAGCCACTGCTGCAGTTGGCAGATGTATGTATATTTACTGAATGCTTCTTTGTCCAGGTGTGCCGTTGGGTGCTGAAATACAGAACCAGCAAAAACCCTCTGATCCAGATGACCATCCTCAACCTCCTTCCCCGACTGGCTGCCTTCCATCCACATACCTTCACAGGTGGGACACATTTGAATCATCATCATGTCCATCGCTGTGTCTGCGAGGTTTCCTATGTCTACAGACAATGTAAAGAGATGCTTTTGGTTTTCCTGTCAGTGGGGTTTGCTGTAATAAACTGGTAGTTTAGCATAGTTTCTACTGTTTGGTTGATTTCTGCACAAATCTGTGTTCAATCATGTGATTATTTGTCCTCTGTGCAGACCAGTACTTGTCGGACACGATGGGCTACCTGCTGGGCTGCCTGAAGAAGGAGAAAGAGAGAACGGCAGCTTTCCAGGCTCTGGGGCTGCTGGTGGTGGCTGTCAGGGCTGAAATACAGCCGTACCTCTCCAAGATCCTTGAGATCATCAAGGCTGCGCTGCCACCCAAGGACTTTGCACACAAGTCAGTAACGGAGAAACACTCAATCGTTTCAGCATTTTGTAAATGATGCATCTTTATATTTAGGTTTTAGTCGTTCATCCTCCAAAACGTTCAAGGCTAAAAAACAAGTGTAAAATGAGTAGCTGATTTAAACTCATTGTGGCATGCTGTCTGTGAATCGTCTTTTCGGTCTTCCGTGTGTTGCAGGAGGCAGAAGACCATGCAGGTAGATGCCACGGTGTTCACCTGCATTAGCATGCTTTCCAGAGCAATGGGTCCCAGCATCCAGCCAGACATCAAGGAGCTGCTGGAGCCCATGCTGGCTGTTGGCCTCAGGTAGGACGGACAGGACAGTTTTCAGCTTTTCACAGACTGCTCTGCACTATATGTCTCCTAAATGTACGTTTTGGTTTGCACGAAACAGTTGAAAATAGATGGATACGCCTCCGTGTTCCAAGCACAAGGCTCTTCCTCAGACCTCTAAATAGAACAATACAGAGTTTTCCAGTTTTAAATACCCACAATCCATTTCAGGATTCTCTTGTACCACCTGTGCATCAAGAGATAATTCAGAAACAAAAACGACACCGAGGTTGCAAGCCTTTTCACAAACAGTTCCTGACAGAGCACCCGGACGAAAAGACAGATTTTTGTAAACTGCTAGTGCTGGGGTGGGCTGCAAAGTTAGCATTGTCTCCTCGCAGCTAGAAGGTCGCCGGTTCGTGTCCCGGTGAGGACACCCGGGATCTTTCTGCGTGGAGTCTCCATGTTCTCCCCGTGCAGCGTGGGTTCTCTCCGGGTCCTCCGGCTTCCTCCCACAGTCCAGAAACATGTTGAGGTTAATTGGTGATTGTAAATTGTCCGTAGGTGTGAATGTGAGTGTGCTTGGTTGTCTGTCTCTAAGTGTAGCCCTGTGATAGACTGGTTACCTGTCCAGGTGAACCTGCCTTCACCCTGAGTCAGCTGGGATAGACTCCAGCCCCCCATGACCCTGGTGAGGATTAAGGTGTAGAGATGATGGATGGATGGATGGATGGATGGATGGATGTTTGGATTTGCACCAACAAGCATCTTTACGACGATAATACAAAGTTGTTTGTCACTGTTTCCGTGTAGTCCTGCACTGACGGCTGTGCTGTACGACCTGAGCCGGCAAATCCCCCAGCTGAAGAAGGACATCCAGGACGGTTTGCTGAAGATGCTCTCCTTGGTGTTAATGCACAAGCCGCTGCGCCACCCCGGCATGCCCAAAGGCCTGGCGCACCAGCTGGCCTCACCGAGCCTCACAAACATTCCAGAGGCCAGTGACGTCGGCAGCATCACTCTGGCCCTGCGTACGCTAGGAAGCTTTGAGTTTGAGGGTAAGATCCTTTAAAAAAGGCACAAAAGTATATATTGTGTTTGGTTGAGTGTCCATATAGTGGACAGAATGTCAGCGTCTTGTTCCAGTTGCTCCTAATGAGGAACACTGAGAGAAAACGTGCTGCACATCTGTATTTTTGCTTCTGGCTAACAGTCGCTGAACTTGTCTAAACTTTTCTTCTGGCTGTGTATCTTGAGCTGTGTGATGTGTCAGACAGAAAGTGAAAGAAGAACTAAAAGATAATTCAAAGTAAAGGGCTGATGCTCATACAGTGGCAATTAGATATGTTGTCGAGATATTGTTGTCATAGAAACAGAGCCCACAGGCAGTGTGGGAGTACTTTGATTTAATGAAGTGCTCCCCAGCGCCCTGCTATGTGGATACGTGCCCTTATTTTGTTCTGATATACCAAACTTTATTGATTTCAGTAGAGAGAAATGACCCAGTGTGAGTAGCGGCTTTACAGGCTTAGAAAATGTTAAGTAAATAACTGGTGGAATTGATGTATTGCTGCCTACACACGACATGTGACGCTGAAGGCATATAGCAACAGGCATTCGATCGAAGGAGAGGAAAACATGGTCTGACTGAACTGACTGGAGTAGTTCTGCAGTTTGGTTCCTCATAGCAGCAGAGTGTGTCCAGCTGTTGGGGCTGGATGAAGGCGACTGCTTTCATTTTTGTCACCAAGCTGACCTGCTTTAAGTTCTCTAGCTGCAGCTCTAAGGTTATTAGAAACAATCACAAGATCAATCAGGTCATTGTTAAATGAAGCTGTGATAGGATACACCTCGCATGGTTTGTGGTCATCTGTTATGGCAGTACAAACAGTTGTGATGCCCCGATTGACACACTATTGTCACTTCTTTCGCCAGGACACTCCCTGACCCAGTTCGTACGCCACTGCGCCGATCACTTTCTAAACAGCGAGCACAAGGAGATCCGGATGGAGGCAGCACGGACCTGCTCGCGCCTCCTCACTCCTTCCATCCACCTGATCAGCGGCCATGTTGTCAGCCAGACCGCCGTACAGGTTGTCGCAGATGTGCTCAGCAAGCTGCTCGTCGTTGGCATCACCGATCCAGGTAACGGAGAAGACAGAGCTACTCGCAGTGGTACTGATCTTGATCACGTGGTAGCGAAGGTGTCAGATGAATAAAAATGCCCCGCCTTTTCTTGTGCCGCTGTAGATCCAGATATCCGGTACTGCGTGCTGGCGTCCCTCGACGAGCGCTTCGATGCTCACCTTGCCCAGGCTGAGAACTTGCAGGCGCTGTTTGTTGCGCTGAACGATGAGGTGTTTGAGATCAGGGAGCTCGCCATCTGCACGATTGGACGCCTTAGCAGCATGAACCCCGCCTTTGTCATGCCCTTCCTTCGCAAGATGCTCATCCAGGTAGGAGACGCACAGCAGGTGGCTGAGTTGAACGATTCGTTGTGTTGGAAATCCCGTTTGACTTTTTAACCCTCTGAACCCGAAACCTGCAGGTGGGTTTGAAAGGCATGTTGTCGAACCAAATCAAAACCTAAATCTAATCAAAATTGCTGGCATGATGGCATTACTGTGTCATACTGCACAGCACACATTTTTGAGTCCTCTCTGATTCTAGCTGTGGTTGTGCTGTTTCCCTCGAGGTAGACAAATTTATATTGTATTAAAAAAATGAGACTGCACAGAGTAAACATGTGACAGGAGCAAAAAAAATGACTAGAAAACTCCTAAAGAATGTAGATTTAATTTTAAATTTGTATATTACATTTTTTTCCCCATCAGTCCACATTTTCATTAACCTGTAATGAAAATTATCGTAAACATGTTTTTAGAATTTATTGTGCTTCTCAAAAATGTAAAAACTAGAAATTTTCTTCATCCACTACATTTGTTCTGCTTAAAACAATCATCAGTCTGCTGTTTTGTTTGAAAACCTTTAGAGGGCAGCAAAGGCTTCTGAAAATGTTTTAATTTAAATGACATTTTCTTTGTTTTTATTTCAGACTTTGCTCCCATAACACTATTATTCACACCATGTCTTAACCTCTGTAAGTTTTATTTTCCCAGGTAGAGAACAATGGGTGCCTCATACCAGCTCTGTTTTCTTTTTGCTGCAGATCTTAACGGAGTTGGAGCACAGTGGTGTCGGTAGGAACAAAGAGCAGAGCGCTCGTATGCTTGGTCACCTGGTCTCCAACGCCCCCCGCCTCATACGGCCGTACATGGAACCCATCCTTAAGGTACAACCCTGCAGCTGTTTATTCACCCAGTAGACTTTCTCTGAGTAAATCTGCAAACACCTTGCAACATCATTTTGCATAAGCCCTTCACGTTGTTTGTTTGTCTGATTGCAAGAAGAATACCGGGGTTCAGCTGGTTCAGTGATCACGGTTCTTTTGCTTTTGCAGGCTTTGATCCTCAAACTAAAAGACCCAGACCCCAACCCTGGAGTGGTTATTAGTGTCCTTGCAACCATTGGCGAGTTGGCTCAGGTAAAATCAGGTTCTTGTTCTATGAGCCTGTGGTTTTCATACGGACTGCTGCTCACTGAAACTAAATAAAGCTGAGAAGAACTGGCTCGCCGTGTTCACGTATTAGAATTTTTTGATGCAAGCGATCTGAGCTGGTTGTTTTTTTTTTTTTTTAAGTGAAGAGTAGAGGCTAGGGCCCCACCCACGGATGTTTACCTTGCTTCACTTTGTCCAGGTGGCTGAATGGTCTCAGCGGAGGAGTCAGAGAAGCACAGTTAAAAGCAAGCAGACCTTGCAGTTCAGACAGAGTGCAGGAGATGCTCAGGTAGAAGTGTGCGTGACCGACTCAGTGCAGGAAGAGGCCCAGGTGCCGAGGAACCAGGAAACAAGGAAGACACAGGAGAACGTAGGGAATGCACATGACTGATACTGAATGCCATGTCAGCTTTGGTTTGTAAAAAACATACGACACAGCCTGAAAACAGCTTTGTGTAGAACTGTAAAATCTGTAGCTTTGGCTGTTGAATACTAATCGACTCCAAGCAACATAAAGCTACAATAAACTCACTTATAAATTCATGTGGTCATTTCAGAGTAAAACTGTGAACAGAGCACTATTTTATTTCAGTGTTACTGAATTGAGTTTTACTCCAGTAGATCTATAAAATGGTACAACACGTCTGGCTTAGTCAGGAATAGAATAGTACAGTCCTGGATGTCTTTCCATTGTTGCTTTAAGATTGATTTAGTAATGTGATTTGGTAGTTCAGGATATTGATTTTAATTGGGTCTGTGCCTGCCCTGACAGGTGAGCGGCCTGGAGATGAGGAAGTGGATGGATGAGCTTTTTCCAATCATCATGGACATGCTTCAGGACTCCTCGTCACTGGCCAAACGACAGGTATGTGAAGACATTTTGGTTAGAATACGGCTGATAAAAGATGTCACAATAAAATGCTTGTTTTGGTCATTATAATGCTGATCAACTTTATGGCTTTTTTTTTTTTTTTTTTTTTTTTAACAAAGACCAGTAAGAACAAAGTTTTATCTGAATTTAACCACTTCAGTGTATTTATCAAGGCACATTAAACACATAAGAAATGTACACACATAAATAAAAAATAAGTAAACCCCACAGTGAGTGCACAGAGCCACCACACCATCAAGACCATGCAGAGAAGTCCGTCCTCAGAGCTTGTGAGTCACTCAAATGAAAGTGGTTGGGGTCACGGTGTCATGGGTGTTTTAGATGGCAAAGCCAGCCTCTGACAGCCTCCACCGGCGACAGAACAGAGAAAAACCAAGAGAGGCCCAGGCAGATGTTGACTCGCACACTTTGGGAGACCTGAAGCGACGCCATCGGGCGAGCGATTCTCTACAGTGTTTTCATTTACACACTTTAAGATGATCAGAAAAGCACAATTTTATCCACAATTTACACGTTACAACCGACAACCAGGCAGCATCGTTACTGAGCTCGTTACCAAAATACATTCAGTTCTAATACGTCAGCTAAAGAAACCGGTTTAGATTACTGTCTCGGTGGCACAACCTTGAGTTTGATTTTACACAATTACAGACTTTCGACTATAAATTGATGCAGAAAAGGCACAAATTCATAATTTCGGAGTTTATAAAAATTCACCAAAATGCAAGAAATTAAGGTTTTGATGTTTAAATTTCTGAAGACACCGAGGCTCTTTCTTAATGAATGCTAAATGGTCTGCACTTATATAGCGCTTGACTACCTTAGCGGCACTCAAAACGCTTTACAATAAGTTTCTCATTCACACACATTCATACACCAATGATGACAGAGCTGCCATGCAAGGTGCTGCCTGCCATTGGGGCAAACGTCAGGACTGTGGAAGGGCCAGGGATCGAACCACCAACCTTGCGATCAGAGGACAATCCGCTCTACCACCTGAGCCACCCTGACCCTATGCATATAATAGGTTATATTATATTCTTTATTAGTCATGAAGGGGGAACTCTTTGATACTGTTCAGCCAGCTCTAGGTTAGAGCTTCTATTCACACCTGATAATACACTCAATGCACACCATCGTGGCATGTTTTAATACATATGTGCAGTTTATTCATCACTGTTAACCATGTAGTGCCTCTGACTTTCCACCAGGTGGCTCTGTGGACCCTGGGCCAGCAGGTGGCCAGCACGGGCTACGTTGTGGAGCCCTACCGCAAGTACCCATCCCTTCTTGAGGTGCTGCTCAACTTCCTCAAGACTGAGCAAAACCAAGGCATCAGGAGAGAGGTATGAATAGGTGCCCTGCTCACAATTTTCACATTTTTTCCTACAGTTCTTGTAATAGCAGCGTGAACCCTGCTCTGGCGCTCATAGTGACTCATTGTAAGGACCACAAGCCCGGCCTGCCTGTCAACGTATACTCAACAGGTCCAGATCTGGTTAGATATATTGACTCTGACTGGAAATTATAGTCACGTGAATGCATACAGTATGAAACTATGCACGTTTTCCATCATTATGGGGAACTTTTTCCTAAGTGATGTAAGTGGTAATTGTCATAGTTTCTTCTTCTTATATGTAGGCACAGAGAGCATACTGTCACTCACTATATATGATATGTGGTGTGAGAAAAAGACTTGGGCAGTCTACTGTAGATCTCTGTTTTTGTTATGTTCCAAATAGTCCCGTCTTTGCCAGTATGTGGCTGAATATGCTGCTTCAGAAATACTCTGGCTTTTTAACTTCTTTTTGAATTACCACAATCGTACAAATAGTCCTGAACGCTGGTGGACAAGCCAAAGTTAAAGTCACGAAGTCTGACACGTGAACATGTCTACCTGATTATTATATGGTGAAGGGCTAATTCTGTGTCTCTTCCAGGCCATACGGGTTCTCGGGCTTCTTGGAGCTCTGGATCCCTACAAGCACAAGGTGAACATCGGCATGATCGACCAGTCTCGGGACGCCTCCGCCGTCAGTCTGTCCGAGTCCAAGTCCAGCCAGGACTCCGGTAGGCCTTGTTTCCAGTGGCAGTTTTTAAATATTGTTTCACCGAGACCCGCGCTGTGGATTAGTTTAACTTTTTATTTGCATTCCTCAGAGTTACAGCGGTATCGAGTTTTTAGTGCAACAGCTGGAAAGTCTCTAAATTAACATGAACTTTTTTTTTTTGAAATCTCGCTGTGCGGGTCCGTCCACTGGGAGCCGTGGGCTTGTTGAGTTGAAGACGTGGTGTTAAGGCCATCTTGGAGGACTGTGTTTATCCTCATTCACATGCTATTAGCATTTTTGATGATTCAGACATATTTTCGGGGGCGAGGACACCATTAGGAAAGGGAATATTTAATTTATACATTTTGTTCAGGTGTAATCCACACGGTTGCTTTTTCACGCAAAGCTCTGCGAGTTAAATGTCGTGCGGCACAGTTTTTCTCAGGTGAGAATGTGATCGCTGTGGAGGGGAACTGATTTCAGCTTCACTTCTATGAATTGTTGAATCTGGCTGTCCAAAAAACACTTACTTCCAGTTGGGCTGTTTCACATTTTATAACCCTACAGCTCATTAGAAATAGAGCACGATGAGGTGATATGTCAATGCAGTCGGGGGGAAAAAACACTTTATTTTTTTTCTAGGTCTTGCCCCTGCATTTGAGAAGTCGGCAATATCTATGGCTCTGCGATTTGTATGAACCTTAATTCTTTGGGATCTGATTCCTGGCTTCTGTCTGATCTACATCCTACCAAACATCCTTCAGAATGCGGCTCTGCCAGCTTAGAGGGAAATATAACACGGCTGAAGTTGAAAGGGGAGATGTTTAATTTAAGGTGACCCACTTTGGACACATCTCAAGCATCTGTTTAATAGACTGTCAGAGATTTGTGTCCCAGTTTTTTATATGGAAGAATTTAATGCTGCTGGAGCCCGTACACACTTAAACTCATCGTCATATCAGTTGAGTTGTTCTAGTTTGTCATCATAAACAGTGACAACATGATTAAGATCCACGTTACTGATTACATTTCTAACCATTACTTAGTTCTACCAGATGAGGGTCGCATTTCTCCCCGAATTTATGTTGTTTTGGCTCATATAGGATATTCAGAAGAAGCTGCAACAGTCTACGACCCCGAGAAGTTGCATTAATCTTTATTTCCCACTCGGACCGAAATTTCTGAGAAATTTGTGATGCAGTTCGCCATGTATTAGAGTTAAAACATGTGATGAAGCGTCGCTACAGGAGACTGTCGCACAAAGGAGGTGGCACGAATTTATGAATTTGTGAAACCGTTGACAGTTTATAGGCCGGGTCAGACGAGGTGC